AAAAATAACCAACAAAAGTCCAGTTGCCTCCAGGGGTGGGATTCTACCAGTTCTCCCCTATTCGCCAGAACCGGTTGTTAACATTCTAAGCAGTTTGGAGAACCGGTTGTTAGAAGAAATTACTGGCCTAATCCTGTAAGGAAGGCAGGAAGGAAACATTCTGGTGTTGCTTACAGAAACTGCCTCTCCGTTAACCCTTATTACATTCTTGGCAGGACTAGACTTCCTGTCTCAGGAACTTCTCTGGAGTTTTTTTCCCCTCCTTTGCTGGCACTTTGCTTGTTTGGAGTGACCATTCAAAGTTACAATGGCACTGAAAAAAGTGACTTATGACCATTTTTCACACTTACGACTGTTGCAGCATCCCTACAGTCATGAGAGGCCAGGCGAGGAGATGCATGCCTCGATGTGAGTGATATTGACTTGGCCACGCCCAGCCAATAACATGACCACCAAGCCATGCCCACCAACTAAGCCACGCCTACAGAACCGGTTGTTAAAAAATTTGAATCCCACCCCGGTTGCCTCCAGAAAAAGGGTAAACCTCTGATTTTACCAACTTTGGGTAAACCTCTGGTCTCGGTGACTGACTCAGATTGGATCCTGCAACATTATCCTGGAACATGTTTACTTGCCTTCATTCATAAACCATTACTGACCAAAGCTTATGCCTTTTAAGAAAATTTGGAGAAAATGCTGTCAGACTCCTGATTTGGGGTCCCTCCGTAGTTTTGTTAAAAAGAAAGAGGTTGAACTCCATCACCCCTCTTACAGATTTACAGTTGGAAGAGACCTTGTAGGTCATCTAGTCTAACTCTCCCCCCCCCCCCCGCTCCAGCAGTAGACCCTCCACCATTTCTGTCAAATGGCAGTCCAATCCCTTCCTGAAAGCCTCCAGTGATGAAGCTCCCACAACTTCTGAAGGGAACTTCTGTTCCATGGGTTGATTGTTCTCACTGTCAAAAACTTTCTCCTTTTTTCCAGGTTAAATCTCTCCTTGTTCAGTTTCCATCCATTATTCCTTGTCTGGCCTTCGGTTGCTTTGGAAAACAGCTTGACCTCTTCCTCTCTGTGGCAGCCCCTCAAATATTGGAACACTGCTATCATGTCTCCCATGGTCCTTTTCTTCACTAGACTAGCCAAGCCCAGTTCCTGTAACTGTTCTTCATATGCCTTAGTCTCCAGTTCCCTAATCATCTTGGTTGCTCTTCTTTGCACTCTTTCTAGAGCAGGGGTGGGCAAACTACGACCCGCGGGCCACATCCGGCCCGTTGGTCTGTCCAATGCGGCCCGCCCCTGAAAAAAAATCACTGCCATTGGTCTGTCCAATCCGGCCCGCCCCTGAAAAAAAATCGCTGAGCGTGGCGTATTGCCCTGTGCTGCGTGGCCCCCAAAGCTGCAAAACAGTGCAGAGCGATCTAGGGGTAGGAAAGAAAAGAAATTTGCAAAGGCCTCGGCTGGGAGTTCAAAATCACCTTCGAGTGCGACCTCTCCGAAGGTGAGTCCCCGCCGATCCCCCTTTTTTTTCTGGGGCTTCCAGGCTTAAACTTTGCAAAGGTAAAGCTTGCAGGCTGGAGCGTCTTCCCGCCGAGGAGCGGGAAGGGTTCCACCCGGCGGGCGGGGCGGGCTGCTTGGAGCCACCTAAAGCTAGGCCGCTGCTGGTGGAGCCTTGCCCTGCCTTGGTGCCTCGTTTCCCGGCTCGGCGGTCCTGCTCGGGCGGCACTTTAAAAGCCTGCTCCCAGCACCCGAGCAACTTCCCAGCAACTTTCGGCTTCCTTTTAACTCGCGGGCGCTCGCGCCTGGCCCCAAGCCGCGCGGCAGAGGGGAAGCCTGGCGGGCGGGCGGGCGGGCTGCTTGGAGGAGGCGACCCGGCAGTGCTCCGGCAGCAGCAACAGTTTCGCCCGGGCTCCGCTCAGGTGTCCGGCTGGGGCTGTCAGGAGTTGCTACCGCCGGCGCAGCTCCGTGCGGCTCCAGTCCCGCGTTGCCTTGGGAAGGAAAAGGCAAAACCAGGAGCCGCTGAGCCTGAGCCTCCGGTGCCGCTGCTCCCGTTGCAAAGCACTGCCGCGGCTCTTCCTTTTTGCCTTTCCCTTCCCGAGGCAACGCGGGACTGGAGCCGCGCGGAGCCGTGCCGGCGGTAGCAACTCCTGACTCAGGGGGCCTCCGAGGGGAGGGGAAGGAGGAGAAGAGGGGGGGGAAGGGTGGGGGGGCGATTCCCAAAAAATCTTGTGCTGACCCGGCCCATCTGTCAAATTTTAAAAGTCAATGCGGCCCCCGAGCCAAAAAGTTTGCCCACCCCTGTTCTAGAGTCTCAACGTCTTTTTTGTAGTGTGGTGACCAAAACTGGATGCAGTACTCTAGGTGCGGCCTTGCTAAAGCTTTATAGAGTGGTATTAGTACCTCACTTGATCCCTCTGGAGTTGCATGAGTAGAAATGTCAAATCTTTTGCAAATGTACAAAAGGAGTAAGATAAGGGGCTTGATCGGGCCGGTTCTTTGCAACATGTGTCTGCAACAACGCTTGTGTAAGCAGTCCAGAGTCAATTCAGGGAGCAATATTCCCTTTGAACCCAAATGTCAGAGAGCTCTTGCCACCATGGCACATGATTATTGGCTTGGCAGCCCAGTTAGCATGAAACGCCCTCCCGTTGCCCTTCCAGGGACACATTGGACGCAATCAAGCAACGTGAAATTGTTTGCTCTTTGGAGAGGCAAGTGTGCACGTGGGCCTCTGTGTACAACCCAAACCGTTCTTTTCCTTCCCCGCCTCCGATCCCTGATTACCTGTCTTTTATTGACTTAGGTTTCCTCACTGTAATAAAATAAAGCAGATACGATATCAAACTGAATAAAGCGCCCAAAGGTACAATCATGCTGACTGCTATCCAGCTGATAAGGGGGTCATCAAACTTGACTGAATTGCAAACGTACGGTAAGTTTTTTCCTGGTGAAGTTCCCCCACCTGCTGCATCCTGCACTGCCCCATCTTCTAACTAGCCCCACCTTTCTAGTCCTCCACTTAGGACAATGTGTGTTTAGTGTCCAACATTACAACAGCACTGAAAAAAGTGACTAGGTTAAGATGAAGTTTTTTAAAAAAGAGATGTATTAGAATGTTTTGATTTTAGAAATGTTTTTAAAGAAAGATTAGTGTTTTAAAGTGGATTAAAAATAGTATTTTTCCCTTGGTTAAAAAATCTGATAGAGTGAATTTTCTTAATGTAAATGGTGATCGTTTATAAAGGTTATTACGTGTACATCAGAGATGGTATTCAGGTTCTGACTAGTTCTGGAAAACCAGTAGTGGAAATTTTGAGTACCAGCAAATACCATCTCTGACTGGCCCCACCCCCATCTATTGTCTGCCTCCCAAGTCCCAGCTGATTGGCTGGGTGTTCTTTTGTTGCCCTGGAAAGGAGAATGGAGCTGGAAAGCAGGTTAGTGGGGTGGGGAGGGAATGGGATTTTACAGTAACCTTTCCCCAGGAGTGGGATGGGAATGGAGATTTTGAAGTATCCTTCCTTTGCCGCATCCACCAAGCCATATCCACCAAGCCACACCCACAGAACCGGTAGTAAAAAAAATTGAATCCCACCACTTAGAAAGACATTATTTCAACAGCAAGGAAGGTAAAGCAGAAATGATTAAAAGGATTGTTCTATTCAAAGAGGAGTATATATTTATGTTTTTTTATTTGGATGTCACTTCTGGATTTTGTGCTTGTGATGAAAAAAAAAATGAAACTGGTTATGCCGATTAGATAGATTTGTTGTTAGAGAAATGGCTAGTTATATACTAATGTGTAAAAGTAAAAAGTTGAGCTTGTAATGTTGTCTTGTGTCAAAAAGAGTTGAAGTCAATGCCTTTTTTTCTTCCCTTGTACCTCATATTTTCTTTCCCTCTTTCTTTTTTTCCCTTCCCTTAATTTGCTATTTTTATTTTTCTTCGTATTTCATATGTTGATAAAACAATGGAAGTCATATAAGAAAAAAGTGACTAAAGGCCATATTTGCCCAAGATGTGGGCATCAGTGATTATCTCAAGCAAAGCCCATTGAAAAGCCATCAGTAAAATCACAAGCTGCAGTCACATGATGTCTCACTTATTGACTGCAGATGATTCACATAACCACACTGGGAGTGAGGTTGTAAATCCAGCATGGTCTTGCTTAACAACATCACTTAGTTCTGTCCCCTGTCTCAAATGACTTGCAAGCCAGCTTTGTTCCATTATACATTCTCTTGATAATAATAATAATAATAATAATAATAATAATAATAATAATAAGAAGAAGAAGAAGAAGAAGAACAACAACAACAACATAAAACAACAACAAAAAAACTGGCAAATCCAGTTTAAACATCTGGCTGACAAACTCTAACGATAATGACAATAAATGAGAATAAGCCTGAAAAAAAACTTGCAGCCCAATGTAGCTCCGTTATAATCTTGCTATAGGGATGCGGTGGCTCATTGGCTAATACATTGAGCTTGTCGATCAGAAAGGTCGGCAGTTCGGCGGTTTGAATCTCTAGCACTGCGTAACAGAGTGAGTGCCCATTACTTGCCCCAGCTTCTGCCAACCTAGCAGTTCGAAAGCATGTAAAAAATGCAAGTAGAAAAATAGGAACCACTTTGGTAGGAAGGTAACAGCATTCCGTGCGCCTTTGGCATTTAATCATACTGGCTACATGACCACGGAGACGTCTTCAGACAGCGCTGGCTCTTTGGCTTTGTAACAGAGATGAGCACCATTGCAAGAGCTGGAAACGACTAGCACATATGTGCGAGGGGAACCTTTATCTTTACCTAATCTTGCTATAGAAGTTTGTGTGTGCCCAGCATGCTGTCGGGGGAATTCTGGGAGCTGAAACCCACAGTCTAAAATCATTGAGGTTGAGAAACACTGTTCCAGAACCATAGAGTTCCAGTAGTCCTTTCAGTATCTGTTTTCTAACCTGGCCTACCTTGGAGGACTGACACCACTCTTCCTTGAATTCTAGTGCCCTGCCCTACCTACCATTTTCAAGAGATGGTTCCTCCTCGACTTGTCCAGACACATTAGAGAATTTGGTGTGACAGACAGCAGGGTTGTCTTGGATGTTCCTTTCGTTGACCCATGTGAGAATACCAGTCCTCCAACTCACGATGTATCTTGAGATATCATGCAGGATCATGGTGGGTGGGATCCTTGGAAGGCTGGAATGAGTCAGCTGGAATGAGTCAGTATAATTCAACAAGATATTGGTGACTGTCAGGCACACAGCCAATAGCCAACCTCTTTCTGAGCAGGAGATACCTGCTATTGTGTCCAGGGTGTGAGATCTATCATCCTCTCCCAGTATCCTGCTACTGTAAGACTGATTGCTAAGCAGATGATAAAACCACAAGCTCCCATTATCCACTGATTCAACTCTGATGTGTCTGGTAGCCTTGGATACTCTCCCAGATGTGTGTGATAGGCACCAGTGATTCAACCAGTTAAGATGAAGCCTTCAGGTCATCTTTAATTGCAGGCAGGTAGCTACAGGAGATAAACAAAGACTTACAACATCTACAACTGTCTTACATCGGTTTGGCTTTTCCTTTGGTTGTTGAGCCTGGATTGCAACTCATCCTTGTTTTGGGGCAACTTCCAGTGTGTTGGGATCTTAAGCAGGGGTAGGCTTCAAAAATTTTAGCAAAAGGTTCCCTGCCTGGTTGCTGGGTAGACGTGGCCATGGTGAGCGTAGCCTAGTCGGCCTGCACCATGGCACGAGGGGGGGGCATTTTTTGCCCTCCCTGGGCTCCAGAGGCTTTCCTCAAGCCTCCAGGAGGACGAAAACGGCTTTCCTGGGCTCTGGAAGCTGGAAAGAGACCCATTTCCGACCTCCCTGAACTTCTGAGAGGCCCGTTTTTCACCCTCCTTGGTAGCCTCTACACGTGCCTGCATTTACCTGCATCCAAAACTGGCTGTGTGGGGCAGTGGTGGGATTCATTTTTTTTTTTTTTTTTACTACCAGTTCTGTTAGCATGGCAGGGGAAGGATACTGTAAAATCTCCAGTCAGAGGTGGCATTTGCCAGTTCTCCGAACTACTCAACATTTCCGCTACCGGTTCTCCAGAACTGGTCAGAACCTGATGAATACCACCTCTGGTGTGAGCACTCCAGGAAGGGGCAGGGAGGGGTGGGTGGAGTCAGCCAGTAGTAGGATTTTGGGATTCTCCAAATTGCACAGAATCTTAGTTAGGGGCTCTCCCAAAGCCCTGCAACCCCCCCAGCAGCCCACCCCTGATCTTAAGCCTGGACTACTACACCATCAGTGGTTCCTGGCCTAGACTCCTAGTTGGTTTTAATGGCCCATTCTTCCAAATCGTGCCCAGCTAAGTGATGGCATCCAGCCAACTTTAGCTGAGCATGCAAAGCTAAACAGGATTCGACCAGGTTAGAAATTATCAAGTAGATATTACTAGGAAATCCTATTTCTGCTTTTTGGGGAAACAAACCAAAAGAAAAAAAAATCCTGGAAGAAAAGACAGATAATCTGTAAATACAGTCAACGACTGTCTTACAACAGTTTCTTTAGTGACTGTTCAAAGTTACAATGGCATTGAAAAAAAGTAACGTGCACCTATTTTTCATCGGAGCATTGCAGCATCTCTATGGCTATGAGTTCAAAATTGGGGTGCTTGGCAACTGGCATGTATTTATCAGGGTTGCAATGTTCTGGGGTCAGTTGACCCCCTTTTGCAACTTTCTGACAAATTTAAGTGAGACAGTTATTAAGTGAATTCTGTCCCATTTTACGACCCTACTTACCACAGGCGTTAAGTGAATCACTGTAGTTGTTAAGTTAGTAACAGGGTTGTTAAATGAAAAAGTGATCACATGAACCAGTGGTGGGATTCAAATTTTTTTTACTACCAGTTCTGTGGGCGTGGCTTGGTGGGCGGAGTGTGGCTTGGTGGGCGTGGCAGGGGAAGGATACTGCAAAATCCCCATTCCCTCCCCACTCCACTAACCTGCTTTCCAGTTCCGTTCTCCTGTGCAGGGCAACAAAAGAAGACCCAGCCAATCAGCTGGGCCTCGGGAGGCGGAGAATAGATGGGGGCGGGACCAGTCAGAGGTGGCATTGACCGGTTCTCCGAATTACTCAAATTTTCCGCTACAGGTTCTCCAGAACTGGTCAGAATCTGCTGAATGCCACCTCTGACATGAATCCAGGACACTGCAATTGTCACAAATATGTATCAGGTGCCAAACAGCTGAATTTTGATCATGTGATCATGGGGATACTGTGTCAAATTTTTCAACTTCCAAACATTAGGAGTACTCAAAAGTTGTGACCCGCCTTGGGGATTGTAAATATATTTTCATTACTTTAATATAATTTAGATGCGCTTGGTAAATAACTGCATAAATATCATAACTTTTTAACATTTTGTTCATAAGTGTGACAAATAGTCATAAGTCACTTTTTTCAGTGCCATTGTAATTTCCAATGGTCACTAAATGAATAGTTGGAAGTCGAGGACTGCCTGTATGTGAATACCATCTTGCAAGGGCTTCATGGAGGCTTTATCAAGTATGAGTCTGCAGCGTGTTACTTGACTGCTTCGTTCATTTACTGTTGATGGTTGATCCTAAAAGGCAGATGCTCTTCACCATTTCAGCATCTTCATTATCGGTTCTAAGGCTGGTCATTGTACCTGTTGTATTTTGGTAAATAAACAGCATTTAAACAAAGCAGGGCTTAATGAATGAATGAGCTGGAAGGGACCTTGAAGGTCGTCTAATCCATCCCCCTGCTCAAGCAGGAGGACCTATAATATTTCAGTTAAGTGGCTGTCCAGTCTCTTCTTAAAAACCTCCAGTGATGAAGTAAGTACCCACAACCTGTGAAGACAAGCTGTTCCACTACTTAATTGTCCTCACTGTTATGAAGTTTCTCCTTAATTCCAGGTTGCTTCTCTCTTTGATTAGTTTCC